CTTGCTACAAATATAAGTGATTCGACTCCCGGGTAGTGCTTTCGTGAAGACATCGGCTAATTGATCCCTGGTTCGAATATGGGGAGTTGAGATAGAACCATCCTCTAGCTTTTCCCGAATGAAGTGACAATCTACTTCAATATGTTTCGTCCTCTCATGAAACACTGGATTGTTTGCAATATGAATCGCTGCCTCATTGTCACACCATAAATGCATTGGTTTCGACTGACTGAATCCAATCTCACCCAGAAGGTTACGTAGCCATATCAATTCACAGGTGGTTTGGGCCATTGCACGGTATTCAAATTCTGCACTCGACCTTGATACAACACTTTGTTTCTTGCTTCTCCATGACACCAGATTTCCTCCCACGAAGACGCAGTAGCCTGTTGTTGATCGTCTGCTTGTACGGTCTCCATCATAATCGGCATCCGTAAATCCTTCTATCTCGTGATGACCATGGTTTTGGTATTTGATACCATAACCCGGAGCTCCCTTCAGATATTTCAGAATATGACAGACGGCGTCCCAATGTGCGGTTCTTGGAGATGACATAAATTGGCTTACTACACTTACCGGAAAAACAATAGCAGGGCGTGTGATCGTCAGATAGTTCAGCCTTCCCACAACTCTTCTATACTTTTCTGGGTTTTCAAGAGGATCCCCATCATCAGCTTTTAGTTTCACGTTTGGGATCATAGGATCTTCACAAGGTTTTGCATCAATCATACCAGAATCATTCAAGATGTCTAGACAATATTTACGCTGTGATAAACAAATTCCTTTGTGAGTTCTGGATACCTCGATTCCCAAGAAGTATTTTAAAGGACCAAGATCCTTGGTCTGGAATTGAGATGCAAGAAAATCCTTTAATCGCTGAATTCCATTACTGTCATTGCCAGTATTTACAATGTCATCAACATAGACCACTAATAGAATGCATCCAGAGTCAGATGAAGCGAAGAACACTGAGTGATCACACGAACTCCGTCGTAGGCCGTTAGTCACTACCGAACTAAATCGACCAAACCAGGCACGAGGAGACTGCTTTAAGCCGTATAGAGACTT